ACTGCTGTTCATGTGCTGCACCACTAGAAAAAAGTTCTAAAATCATGGGAGTTGGTGTCACACAAAGGGCGTGATTTTCTGCAGCTCAAGAATCCTTCTTTTTCTCTGACTCCATGTCTTTCCTCACAGGTCCTTCTCTACTCACTTTTAAGTCTTGTATGTTAAGGCAGACTGGAAAGAGTATGTGTTCTGGAGCCAGAAAGTCCTAGATTTAAAACCCGGCTCTATCCTTATTCTGAAAGGTCACCAAACTTTGAGACCTAGTATCATCCTTGAAAAAGGGAGGCTAATCATTTATTAATTCCTACCTCGCACAGGTATCAGATAACCTCAGTGTGGGCATACTTTGTTGAGTGCCACCTCAGCCACCAAACCCTGGCACATCACACTACTCAAAGCTTAATTCAATCCACTACTGGCACAATTAGAAAGAATGCCAAGACACAGGTATCATATGAACCCATGACTGTACATGGATCTAGGAACACATCTTCATAGACACTATGTTCGCTGTAGAACTTTCATTTCCAGAAATGAATCCTACCTCCATCCTCCCCCAAGCCTGAGGGACGCTGCCTGACTCAGAAGAGATATTACACTCATGTTAGATACCACTACTCACAACCCCTCCCTCCTCATTCTCTGAAAATGCCCACCCTGAGACTTGACTCATCAGATATGCACTTTTTCCATTTCACTCCTTTATCCAAACTGTACTTGCCCATCTTTCACCTTTGGGGTCTGTGGTCATTTTGCTCCTTTGCCCTTCCCAAAGAACCACCTCTATAACTTCGACACCTAGCTCAAATGTAACTTATGTTAGTGAACCTTCCTAGTCCCCCAATATCCTCTGGTATCACTTCCACTCCCCAAACTATGTTGCCAGACCCCTGAGGGGCAGACTCTGACTTGATCCATATTTGTAATGCCCCTCCCTAGTGCCTAGAACGTTTTATATGTGGTAGATACTTAGTAAATATTTGTTGAGTGGGTGAAATAATGAATCAATGATTGGGTTCTCTGGTAGTCCAGTTTTGACATACCAACTTGGAACTGTCAGAGAGACAACCAGTAGAAGTGTCCATCACCTGGCTCAGGAATAGGGTCAGGACTGAAAAGGTACATTTGTCAGGCATATTCACTACAGTAGTATCTGAAGCCTTGGAGCTCACCAAAAAAAGGATGTGTTGAGAAAAAACAAAGGTTAACAGTAGAATATTTCAGGGATAGAAGGAAGTGCAGTTAAGATTATGATTCAAAGATAAATCATAAAAAGAAGAAATCCAAAGCAGTAGAGACCCAGGAAAATAAAAAAAGAGTCCTAAAAAACACCTCTAGTGCATTAATGTTGCAGAAAGACAGAAGGGGTTGGAGGCATAAAAGTCACTACCGATGTGTTGATTCAAAAGTCCTTGGTGACCTCCTAGCAAGTGAGGTGTTACGGGCAGAGGTGAGGCTGGAGGAGTAGAGGTATGAATAAGAATGACAAAAAGTATAAGACTATTCTTTCAAGAAGCGTGACAGAAAAAGGAGAGATAAGAATCATAGTGCCAAGTGAGTCTGGAAGCAGCTGTGAATATAAAATAACAGAGAAAAAGATGGCTCAGCAGGTAAAGCACCGCACCAATACACAAGGTTATCACTGCTGTCGCCCAGCAACAGGACGCAGGTACTCATATAATTCTGCTGCATACTCACCTGCATGGTCCTGAGAAAATCACTTCCCCCTCCCTTAGCTAACTCATCAGATTCTTTGAATAATATGAGTTCATATGTGGGAAGGAATTACAGAAGACTTTATCACTGAGAGCAAGGTCTTAATACTGTAATACATGGGTGTGTAATCTTACAGATGTCTTGTCATTTTTCAGTTTCCTTCATCAGTGCGAGAAAAGGAAACTGAAACTCCCTCATATGTAACAGTGATTACTTACTCGCAGCAAAGAGAAATAAGACAATGACACAGAGGGCAGAGAAAGGCAGGATAAAGTCAAGGTACACAGAGTCAAAGCAGTGATGGCAACCCCTCCAATTCCTTTTCTACAGACTTTGCCATTTTTCTAAACTGGGGGACATTAGTCAAGGGCTACCTCCCCCAGGTGGATGGCGAACTGCCAAGAGCTCATACCAGAACTGAGTGCGCCTGCTACTTCTGTCAATCAGATCTGCCTTGGCAGGGACATTATGCTTACCTCAAGGTGCCTGTCAGTGAAAGGCTTGAGTAGATATCACTGACCTCATGACTGTCTTGAAAGATAAAATAAAATTTTGTACTGAGACAAAAGCTTATAACTCCTTGGTTATTCTGTTTTAGGTTTCTCCCCCAAAGAAATGTTATAAGCTCAGTGCTGATTTTCCACACTCAAACCATGTCATAGAGACTTTTCACTTGGAAGGGGCAGCTGCTTCTGAGTATTACCATGGCCAGCATCAGTGTAACATTTTCTCAAAGCCAATATACAGAAGGTATATTTGCAATAGGAGGTATATCCGCAGCTCATGGGTGGTATATTAAGGCCATAGATGCTATCAAAAATATACAGGGAGAAACTAGGCAGAAGACCTCAATTAAAGCAGTTCACAGTGGCCTTGCTTCACAAAGTAGAATTTATTATCTCATTCAATGGTAAGAAATGGCAAATAGTAATTTCAACTGATGGGTAATGCAAAAGTCATCTGCATTTATCTTTAGGATACACTGTAGTTTTTTGTTATTTTTTTTTTAATTTCCAATGTGTTTGGCTTAGGGTAACAGTAAAATTAATTTTCAGGGGCGCCTGGGTGGTTCAGTCGGTTAAGCGGCTGCCTTCGGCTCAGGTCATGATCCCAGGGTCCTGGGACTGAGCCCCGCATCAGGCTCCCTGCTCGGCGGAGAGCCTGCTTCTCCCTCTCCCTCTGTCTGCCGCTCTGCCTACTTGTGCTCTCTCTCTCTATCTCTGTTAAATAAATAAATAAAAATCTTTAAAAAAAAATTAATTTTCATCCCATGAGCATAGCTGGACAAACTGTCCAGATGCTGCTTCTATTACTATAAACTAACAAATTACTAGAGAAACACACATATAGAACGTTGACTATATTTTTAAAGACTAAACTGTCCTTATTGACAGAATTCATATGTTCATAGGAAGGAAACCAGTATCAGTAAGAAAACACAGTAGCATTAAGACATACTAGGGTAGCACGATAAGGGTTGAAAGAAGAATGTGGGATTATATGTGGAAGGTTTGCCACTATTAACAAAGGTCAGTCTGCTCTAGTGAAATCAAGCAAAATCGTTAGGGTGATGTCAGAAGAAACAGCATTCCTTACAAAGAAATGAGATAATGCTATATAAAAAACAAATTTATAAGACATTCACTAATGTCTTTATAATCCTTACAAACATACAAATGATCCAATAGCAATTGCTGAAGTATACGTGATGGAGGAGGGAGAATGAACAGTAGGAGCAAAGGACTCCCTCTAGTACTAATCCAGTCACCTTTGCTAATTCAACAGATATTTACTGAGTGCCTACTAAGTGCCAGGCTCTGTTCTCTAGCCTAAAGATACCGAAATAAACAAAACAGACAAAAATCCCTGCCCACAGGGAGCTTACAATATAATGAAGAATTTGAAACATGTGACTTCGAGTAAGATATACCTAGGTGACTAAAAAATTTGTTATGGAGAAACCAAGACGAAGAGGACTGCTAATAAAAATTGAAGACACAGACGCCAGATGCTCATATACACATACACACATGTATGTATAATGGTAGAAAATGAAGACTGTTGATGACAGATAGTGAAACTGAATACAAAAGCAGAGAGCACATTCTCATAATTCTAAATTATTTTTGCTAAAATCAAATCCCAGCAATTACTTTCCTGTGATGTGGCCTGATATTGCAGGATTATATGTATGAACCAAAAAAAAAAAAGATCTTAGATGACGACCAGTAACATGAAGGACTGGGATGCAACCACAACGTGCAACCAACAAATGCAGACCAACAGACTAGTTTCTACTGGATAAAAACTTAAAAACATAACAGAATTAACTGATAAACACTCCAACTCATCTGGAAATATATTCCAGAAATGGAAAAAAAAAAAGTGTTGATTACAGCAAAAGAGTATTCCGAGTATGAAAACGGGGTTGTTAAGTAAATTTGGGCAGTTATCTCGGCACACGGGGTAGTTTCACACATTCAGTCCAACAATTTGCTGAAACGGGATTCTGCCATTTCCCGAGTCAACTCCTAAGGTGTACATCTGCCATGTTACTAGGCGATTTCAACTCTAACAAGAGATGAATGGAATACTCTGGGCAGACGGATTCCACTCTTTGAGAGTTGCACATTAAAGAAATGTATAAAAGCAAAGCAGACAAAAATACATGCAAACACAATGCAAATACCGGAGCGAAACAAGGAGGGAGACAAGACTTGCAGTTGAAAAGTTCCAGGTCATCAGTTCTGTCCACTGGGAAAAAAAAAATCTAAGAACTTCACCATCTAGAGGCTTCGAACATACACTCGGTCCCCCCAAGTTTGAAATGACTTGACCACCAAGAAGGGAAAAAGGCGCACTGATGGTTCCTCTTAGGCCCATTCAAGACACGGGGGTCGAATCCCCTCGCTTTAGACGGATGGGACTGGCAGGTACACCTGAGGCAAAGGCAGAGGAACAGGTCCGAAGCCCCGGAACTCCGATTAGGAAGCAAAACACAAAGTTTTAAAAAGACGGTGGGGGGAGGTGGAGGTGGAGAAAGCACAGCAAGTCAAATAAATAACTGTAACAGAAAGTAGGAATGCGTTGGAGAACCCACGGAGCCATCTCCACCGCTCAAAAGCTAGAAACTATAGAAGCTGCAAGGGCCAGGATCTTCGGGGCTCCGGAACTCAACACCCAGCCTGAAGCGGGTGAGGGGGAGCAGTTCCCGGGAACCCCCTCCCGCCCCTCTCCCCTCAACCCCGCCCATTGGGTCCGCCCCGTCCCGCCCGGCTACTCACCGGATTCGCTTCCCACATAACGGTGGCGAAATCGAGCGGAGAGAGCCTGGGGGAAGGGGCTAGCCGCGGGGCCGGGGTGTTGGGTTTTTTCCGAGGGTCCCCGGGAGCGAAGGGATGGAGAGGCAACCTTTATGTAGGCCTTCCTTCTACCCCGCCCTGTCACAAGCCAGCGTCTTCGGACCACCGACCCTCCCGACTTCCGCCCGAAGCCGGCCAACCAGCGCTGGCCCCGCCCCGCCCCCGGAAGCTCGTCCCGCCCCAGCCACTCCCTTCCGGGCTGGTGGGCGGGTCGTAGTGGGCGGGGCTTGCGAGTATCTAACTTGTGAGCGAGTTTAAAGGGCTTCTCCTCCGATCACCTTTTCAGTAATATGTCTCCAGCGCAACGTCCTCGCCAAGTGACCCTCAAGCCGCGGCTGGTTGTAGTTCGGCCGGTATTTATTGATCACTATATAGTGAGTGTAGTGGCCAAGAGTCAGGCCTGGGAATTAATCCCAGCGGGGCCAACGGCTTTTGGGACAAACTTCACCCTCTTTCAATTTCCCCGTCTTCAGAATGGAGAGAATAATAACATCTACCTAAGGGTGTAGTGAGATCATTTAAAACGCCAACCACAGTATTTGGCATGCAGTAAGAGCTCAATAAGCGACAGTTATTTCCCAGACACCGTGCTAGGCTCTGGAACGCTAGACCCATATGCAGTCCCTGCCCTCACGGAGGTTAGAGTCTAGGGGGAAGAAACCCAAAAAGCAAGTAATTTGATAAATAAGAAAGTGCAGTATGGTTTGTAGGTAGTGTGGCAAGTACAGGGTTTGATGAGAGCATGCTTACCTAGGGATAGGGTTTCTGCTTTCCCTTCTCCCCCAACAGAGTTTAAGCTAAGACCTCAAGGCTGTACTATTGAAGTTACCTGGATAAAGAGCTCTAAGAAATGGGGAGAATCTTCTAGGCAAAAAAATAGAATCTACCCAGGGAAAATGAAAAAGAAACAGCTTGTCATATATCCTTCTGGGGTGTTCCATAGCTCCACACATAAAAAAAAAAAAAAATCAAAGAATACCTACAGATATAGAACGTGATTCTTTCACTTAATATCATGTGGATAGCCTTCATTCCAATATATATAAATCTATTCCATCATTTTGAAGCAGACTCATGGCATTCCAAGGTTTGTATGTATATCTCTCTCACGCACATTTTTGAAATAATCCATTGTGACAGACATGTAAATGGTTTTCAATTTTTTACTATTCTAAAAAGTGCAGCAATAAACATTCTTGTACAGACGTTTCTGTACATTTGTCCATTTTTCTCGTTGGAATCAGTTGTTTAAGCATGTGACTCTTGGTTTCAGTGCAGGTCATGGTCTTAGGTCCTGAGATCGAACCCCACTTGGGGCTTGTCCCTCTCCCTCCCCCTCTGCTCCTGTCCCCCTTCCCTGCTCAAGCACGTGCTCTCTCTCAAATAAATAAATAAAATTTTTTTTAAAAATTAATGGAATCATTTAATAAGAGATTATAGAAATCTCAAATTTTAAAACATTTTGCCAAACTATACTCAAGAATAATGTGTAAACTTGAAATCTCTAATTTCTTCTTGTAAATGGATTGAGATAGGTTTCTTCACCTTATTTTTTTCCACTTTACTTTTTGCAAATGGTTAACCAGTTGCCCCAATATCACCTGTCGAATAATCTATTCTTTCCCCACTACTTTGAAGTGGCACCATTAATCATGAACTAAATGTGTGTGTGTGTGTGTATCTGTTTCTGAACACTCTTGTCTATTTTATCAGCTATCTGCTTATTCCTGTGCTATGTCATACTTATTTTTTTAAATTTTTTATTATGTTATGTTAGTCACCATACAGTATGTCATTAGTTTTTGATGTACTGTTCAACAATTCATTAGTTGCATATAAAACCCAGTGCTCATCACAACACATACCCTCCTTGATACCCATCACCCGGCCACCCCATCCTTCCACCCACCCCCCCTCTTGAAACCCTCAGTTTGTTTCCCAGAATCCATAGTCTCTCATGGTCTGTGCTATGTCACACTTGTAATCATTGTAGCTTTGTAATATATTTGCTGTTTCATAAAACAAGTCCTCTCCTAATTCTCTTTTTTAAAAATTTTCAAATTCGCGAGTCAAAATTTTCAAATTCAGGAATACATCTCTTCGTGTATTTAGGCATTTTAAATTTCAAAGACTTGAAAAAATTTTCACAAAGATTTGCACAATTTTTGTGAAGTTTGTTCCTAGATTTTTTTTTTTGGTATTATTGCGAATGAGATATTTATCATTACTGTCTATTAGGAAAACTTTGTTTTTATTTTTTATTTATTTATCTCTTATCCTAACACACTGAAAGTGTCTTATCAGTTCTAATAACTTGCCAGCTGATCTCTCTGAATTTTTATGTCAACAATCATATCACTTACAAATAATGCATTTTCTCTCTTCCTGTTGGATTGGCCAAAACCTCAGAAAACTTTTGAAGAATACAGGACAAGATAATGGGCATTCAGTCTATAATGTAGTAAGACAAGTATTTGCCCCTAGTTGATTCTTGATATCCTTTAAATACACTGTTATCTTGGGGTGCCTGGCTGACTCAGTTAGTAGAGCATATGACTCTTGATCTCAGGTGTGTGTTCGAGCCCCACACTGGGTGTAGAGGTAACTTAAAAATAAAATCTTAAAAAAACACATTGTCATCTTTGAAGAAGTTTTCTCCTATTCCTAATTTACTATAAGATTTTAATTAGGAAAGGAGGTCAAATTTTATTAACTGTCTCTTAAGGTCTATTACCAGATTGACTTTTTACTCTGACTTATTAATATAATGAACTATAGTAGATTTCCTAATGTCCAACCCACCCTTACATTCTTGAAATAAACTCTGCTTTGCCATATATTCATTATTCTTTGAATACACTGCCAGATTCAATTTGTTAATCTTTTATTTAGGATTAAAATTTATTTATAATTAATGAAATTGGTCCATGGTTACTGGCGTTTTTTGTGTCTGTGTTTAACAAATTTTGTTAAGTGAATAGCAGCAGTTTGTTATTTAGCTCTTCTTCAAAGGTGGGGCTTTTTACAAAGCAAGTTTAACTGGAAAGATTAGGACCAACTCCTCAACCTTTTGTAGGGTTGGGACTATACTTCATTTTTTAAAAAGATTTTATTTATTTATTTGACAGAGAGAGAGATAGCAAAAGAAGGAACACAAGCAGGGGGAGTGGGAGAGGGAGAAGCAGGCTTTCTGCTGAGCAGGGAGCCCGACGTGGGGCTCAAACCCAGGACCCTGGGATCATGACCTGAGCCAAAGGCAGACGCTTAACGACTGATTCACCCAGGGGCCCCTATACTTCATTTTCTTGAAGTCTTAGGGTTGCCTGGCCTGGTGGTCAGAGAATGGAATGGTGAGAACACAACGGGTTTGAATATACATCAGATTTTATTTTATTTTTTTTAAAGATTTTATTTATTTATTTGACACAGAGAGAGAGAGCACAAGCGGGGGAGTGGCAGGCAGAGGGAGAGGGAGAGGGAGAAGCAGACTCCCCAAGGAGGAGGGAGACCAATGAGGGGCTCGATCCCGGAACCCTGGGATCATGACCTGAGCCAAAGGCAGTCGCTTAACCAACTGAGCTGCTCTGGTGCCCCGAATATACATCAGATTTTAAAATATAAACTGCTATGTCTCAAAGTAATATGAAGGGAACATATTTCATAAACTGAAAATAGCTGTGCAAATTTTAGGATTAATTTTTTTGCTTATCATTCTTGAGTTATGACCCCCCCCACCCCACTGAAAGAGTAAGAGTGAGAAGGGACCTTAATGATCATTTAGTCCTGGGATCGTAAACTCATAGCTAATGAGCTTTGGCACACACAGACTGTTGGAATTTTTTTGGTAAGTGGCTGCCATCTTAAAACTGGGAAATTTCACATGAAATCCTGTGGCTTTTCATGGTATTCTCACCTATGCCAACAACTGGCCAAAGTCTCGCTGACCCTTTCCCATTAGGAATGGTCTCTCAGTGTTACTTGAGTTACCAGGCTAGTATTTCTCATCCTTAAATTGCCTACCGAGGCCCTCTGGGTATTTGAAATTGTACTGATAATCAACTTCTTATTTTGCTGAGGAAACCCAATGGATCCGGGACTTTCTAAAATATCCTCATAGAAAACAACTTCACTGTATTCTCCCGGACCTCTGGGGCTCCACCTCTCATAGTCTTTCCATAGATTACTCTCTGCCTGTAATGCCTGAAATTTTCCCTGTCACACCAAGTCCAGCACTGGGAATGCTCCCCTCTGCATCACAGCTCTGGGCAAAGAGCCACGGCAGTAGAAACTATGAACACTGGTCACTGTGCAGTAGAAACGGTCACTGGCTTTCTCAGGAAGATCAAACAAACAGAAGACAATTTACTTTATCTTTGGTGTTTTCTATGTGTGTTCTGGCTGGAGGTGTCCAGAGCCTGGCTAACCCCAGCCCAAGGATCCTGAGTGATTGCAGCCACCCTTCCACCTGGCTGAGTTTATTAGCTCTTTGAGTACCGGGAGAGGAGGAGGAAATGCCTGAGGGGCAAGGAGCGAGGAGAAGAAAAGGAGCAGTGGATACCTATCACTGGAAAGCGAGAAAATAGTAACTGAGCAGAAGGCAAATTTGTGCAAACAAAATCAATCTCACGTACAGACAATAGGAGGAGGAAGGAGAACCAAGTAAGTGGTGAGATGCAAGAGATGGCATCACTTATTATTTTAATGAAATTTTCTATAACTGTTTTTATTTTTAAAAGCCACATTCAGGGCTGGAAATAGGGGAGCCCTAGAAATGCATATGGAAGACAGGCTGGATTTGACAGAAAGGAGGAGCCAGAGACCGGAAGAAGGTGCAAAAGGAGAGCTGAGGGGCCACAAGAGGGTCCGGGAGTAAGGGAGAAAAAGCTGCATTTGTGCCCATCAGCCTTGAATATAAAGACCCAGGCTCCGTCTGAAAAAGAGCCAACAATGAAGCAGCCCCAGAATCAGCCCTGCTGTTGAAGTCTGACGCGTTAACAACCTCAGCAGGAATTAAGAGGTGAAATAAGCAGATGAAACATTTGCTGAAGCCGAGATAAGCATTCCTGGGAAGGAATTTTT